GACAGTTCTTCTCTGAATGTTTGATAAAATTGACTTGTAAATCCATCTGGCCCAGGGCTTTTTTTGTTCGGAAGTTGTTGGTAATAACCTTTTCAATTTCTTCTTTTGTAATGGGTCTGTTCAGATGTTCAGTTTCGGTTTGTGTCCGTTTACGTAGGTTGTGCGTTTTAAGTATTTGTCCATTTCCTCTAGGTTTTCATATTTGTTTGAGTATAGTTTTTCATAATATTCTAATGTTAGCTTATTTTATTTTTGTTGGTTCTGTAGTGATGTTCCCTCATTCATCTCTTATTCTAATTATTTGTATCTTCTCCTTTTCTTTTGTGAGTTTTGCTAATGGTTTGTCGATTTTATTGACCTTTTCAAAGAACCAACTCCTAGTTTTGTTGCTTGTTTCAATTGTTTTTCAGTTTTCTATTTCATTTATCTCTGCTCTAATTTTTATAATTTCCGTTTTTTCGAAGGTGTTGGGTTTTCTTGCTGTTCTTTTTCAATTTGTTGGAGATATTGGGTTAGAGAGTCAATAGTCACTTTTTCCTGCCTTTTGATGTATTTGTTTATTGCTATAAGTTGACCTCTGATTACTGCTTTAGCTGTTTCCCAGAGGTTTTGGTAAGTGGTGTTTTCATTGTCATTTGTTTCAAGAAACTTTTTAATTTCATTTCTTATTTCTTCTTGTACCCAGTCGTGTTCAAGCACGTTGTTGTTCAGCTTCCAAATGTATGATTTTTTCCTCCTTTATTTTCTTGTTATTAATTTCTAATTTTGTGGCATTGTGATCTGAAAAGATACGTTGTTTAATTTCTATGTTTTTTAATTTGTTGATGCTTGCTTTGTGACCTAGAATGTGATCTATTCTGGAGAACGTTCCATGCACGTTGGAAAAGAAGGTATATTGTGCTTTTTTGTGGTGCATTAGCCTATAAATATCTATGAGATCGAGTTGGTTAATTGTGTAGTTTAATTCTTTGTTGAGATTCTTTTTTGGTAGTTCTATCTTTTCTTGAAAGTGGTGTATTGAAGTCTCCAAGTACTATAGTAGTGTTGTCTATCTCCCTTTTCAATTTTGTTAATGGGTGTTTTATATATTTTGCAGGTCTTTCATTTGGTGCATAGATATTCAATATTGTTATATCCTCTTGTTCTTTTGACCCTTTGAGCATTATGTCGAGACCTTCTTTGTCCTTGTGATGGATTTTGCATTAAAATTTATTTTATCAGAGACTAGTATCGCTGCTCCTGCTGTGTTTTTGGTTCCCATTTACTTGGTATATTTTCCCCCATCCTTTTATTTTTAGTCTTTCTTTATTTTTCAGATGTGTCTCTTGTAGACAACATATTGATGGATTTTGGGTTTTTTATCCAATCTGCTACTCTTTTTCTCTTCAGTGGTTCATTTAAACCATTCACATTCAGTGTAATTATTGAGAGGTAGGGTTTTATTGCTGTCATTTCGTTCAATTCTTTTTGGAGTTGTTGCTAGTTACTTTGGTCCATCCTGTTTTCTGTGGCGTCTGAGTATAAAGGACGTCTCTCAGTGTTTCCTGTAAGGCTGGTCTTGATTTTACGAACTCCTTTAGGTTCTGTATTTCTGGGAATATTTTGATCTCTCCTTCGTACTGGATGGACAGTTTTGCAGGATACAATATTCTTCGTTGAAAGTTGTGTTCTTTAAGTGTTCGATATATGCCATTCCGTTGTCTTCTTGCTCGCATGGTTTCCACTGAGAAATCTGCACTTAATCTTATCTCTTCTCTCTCTCTCTTTTTTTTTTTCCTGGGGTGACAAACATTTAATGTTTCAGACAAAGACACCAGATCGTGAACTGGATTTGTCGTACATAATGGACTTTTAGAGGAAAGGCTCTTTACTAGAACTTTGTCTTCTTTTTAAAAAAACAACACAAAACCCTCACTGCCATCAAGCTGATTCTGACACAAAGCAACCCTAATGGGCCAAGCAGAACTGCCCCAGAGGCTTTTCAAGGCTGGAAATCTTTACAGAAGCAGAATGCCTCATACTGCTTCCACAGAGCAGCCAGCAGATTCAAACTTAAGACACACTTAAGACACAGCAACACCAGGTGGTGTTCTTGCATGTACAGACGTTTGAAATGAGATGTCTTAGGTAAGCAAAATACATTTATATCAAGAGAACAGAGAATATTAATAAAAAAAATTAGACTTTACACATTCAGTCTGGATACCCTTTGATACTGGAGTTTGGTGGCCTAGTGGTAAAAGGCTCTGCTGCAATTCCCCCAAAAAATGTGGTTCAAATCTCCCAGCTACTGTACGAGAGAGGGATGGGTAATCTCCCAAGCGATTTCCTGCCTCTGGAAACCTGCGGGTGGGTCAGCTATGAGCTGGTTCCTACTCGACGGCACAACAACTCTCTGATAATGAATTCTGTAAATCAATCCCCATTCTCCTAAAGTCCTGCTTTCCCAACACAATACTAGCTTTTCTCAACTATATGGAAATACTTCCTTTCTCAAGTAGTAATCAGCTATTCACTTATTATAGAGAGGAAACATTAAATAGGCCATAAATTAGTATAATGCTGTAACTATCTGTCTAAAAACAACAAATCAATAATTATTAGTCTGTGAGAGCGTCTGCACTGCTAACCCAAAGATCTCACCTTTCTGGCAGTTAGCATGTACCAAAGGCTCCAGGAGACAAACCCGGGCAATCCCTTCTCACACTATCTCCAGCCTTGGAAACCCCACAGTCAGTCAGCTAGGGGTTGGTTCCCACTTGATAGCAAAGAGCTTGGGGTTTTTTTAAATTATAATCTGACTCACAGGTTCCTGAACTTATATTAGCCACCAGGAGATGGTTATATTGGACAGTTAAGACAACAGAATCTCTGAGGTAGGCTGAGGTTGGGAGGTAAACTACTGACCACCACAGTGAGCTCTGCATTAGATCTACTGTGCAGGGAGACACCCCAAGTCCTGCGCCTGACAAAGCCTGAAGTCTCCTCTGCTGGCTTCTATGTGACTTCTCAAAGCCCTTCCCTGTTAGGACTCTGAAATGCTTATAATGGAAATGCCTTCCCATGATGGCCATTCTTCCTTTGGCCTGATTAATTCAATCTTTCAGGGAGTAAAAACAATCACACCATGCTCTCAGAAGGTTCAAAGCGATGCTGTCCTGAGTTCTAACTGTCTATTTAATATAATCATACCATTTTCTCTTCTAAGAACTATTTCATAATTTAAAGAATGACATGGCTGAGCGAGATATTTAGGAAGACATTTCTCAGCAGAGCTGAATTTAAATCAGCCTCCAAGTGCTGCAGTCTGTGATGGTTTTTATTGAAATATTTTATCTGAAGGTACACAAAAATTGCTTTTACCAT